GGCACTGAGCAGGTCTGGGAGTGAGCCTTAAATCACAATGCAAGATGTGGCTGGGGTGTGTATTCTCCTGCCATCTGTCAGAACCAGGTGGGGCAGTTATCTTCTGTTCACTGGGCAGTTTTTTCTTTATCTCTTCCAACCAATCCTCCCTCCATGAGATCTCTGCTGTCCATGGTCCCTGAGTGTCCCTGCAGGGCTGATCCAATCCCAGCATCCCATGGGGAGATGCTCCGCCCAGGGGAGGAGCCAAGCATTCCTACCTGGATCCAATCTGAGCCTGGCACAGCACAGCAGCCTTTGCCCCCTGCATTGCCAGAGGAGCAGCTTTCTGCTGCCCTGCATTGCCAGAGGGAGCCCAGGTCCATCTCCAGCAGCCCTGGAGCTGCAGAGGAAAACTCCCCCCTTGTGCAGGATCCCTGCTGCAGCAGAGCCACAGCTGGCACTGCAGGAGGGCTGAGCCCCCATGGGATGGGGCTGGGACACCTCCCTGACACACAGGGGAGCAGCTCCTCTTCTCACTCTGGCAAGGTTGTTTTGTATTACTGCATTTTTATTTTCCTATTAAAGAGCTGTTATTCCTACTCCCATATCTTTGCCTGAGAGCCCCTTAATTTCAAAATTATAATAATTCAGAGGGAGAGGGTTTACATTTTCCATTTCAGGGCATTTCCATTTCCATTTCCTGCCTTCCTCAGCAGACACCTGTCTGTTCAAACCAAGACAGTCTTTGAACAAAGCCCTCACTGGGGCTCCCAGGCTCCTGATCCTCCCCCCAGATCCATCTTGAAGCTACAATGCTTTATGCCATTTCTGGGCATAAAACAGAAAATCAAGCATCATCATAAAATCACCCCAAGACTGTTGCTTGGCTAGCTTGGCTTTTTTGTTAACTTAAGCAAGAAAGTGGTAGGTTTTTTTCCTTTTCCTGGCCTGAAGAGACTGCAGCAGCAATCCTTCAGCAGCTTTTGGGTTTTTTTCTTGAATTGTTCACCTTGGTTTTGGTCCAAGATCCGACAATCACCAGGAGCCAATCAGGCAGGAGCTTCTCTGCCTGGCCTGAGACCTCAGGAAAAGCTGAACCAACAAGAGAAAAGACACCAAAATCCACCAGCTTCATTTGCTGTGAGGAAGAGACCAACACCAGAGGTTCCACAGGTTCCCATCTGTTTTGCCCAGGCTGCTGCATGAGCTTTTTTCCTTTCCCTGAGACAAAAAAGTTGGTGCCATTTTGTTCTCCCTGCCACACAGCTGGGCTGTTTGTTTCTTTCCCTGGAATTTTGGGGCTTTTTGTTCTACTGTGGGGTGGGTATTTGTGTGTGTTGGGGGTAAGGTTCTGATGGTTCAATATCTAGCATTTGTTCAATTTTTTTTCCTTTGCCACGTGGGCACTTTGTCAATGAACAGTTGTTTTTTTTCATTTTCACCCACTGGTATCCATTTTCTCATTGACAAGAAAAGGGATTAATGAAGCATTTTTTCTTTAGCAGAAACACTCATTCCAGAGCATTTTCTCCTAAATTTGTCTCTAAAATGAGAAAACCTCCTCTTCCCACCTAAACCTCTCTATCCCCTTTTGTCCTCATCACCTTGTTAACTTTTTGGCTCCCTTCCCTCAATATGGAATCATTCTTAGTTTTTCCTTAGGTCCCATTTTACCCTTTGCCCATGGCCTCACAATCATGAGAGCCCAGAACTCCCCACTGTGTGCATGCAGAAGTGTATTTGCATTCCCACAGGTTTATGTTTGCATTCCCACATGCTGTTCCAGCACCCCTGGCTCCACTTTGTGCTGTCACCTCTGCTCATTTCAGTGCAAGGCCATGTGTGGGCTGGCTAGGAGTGACATTGAGGCACTGCAAAAACATTGGACATCCTCCCAGTTGTGCTGAGCTGGGCAAAACGTGAGTCAAGCTGTTCAGGTGCTCTTCAAGTGCAGGGGTATTCAAACTCACAAGATTCAGTGATCCAGAGAAGAGCAGATAAAATACAATACAGAGGTGTTGGAGTGAGTCCAGAGGAGGCCACAAAGATGATTAGAGGGATAGAAGAACCTCTCTTATGAAGAATGTTTGGATTGTTCTGCCTGAAGAAGAGCAGGCTCCAGGGAGAGACCTCAGAGTCCCTTTCATTGCCTAAAGGGGCTGCAGGAGAGCTGGAGAGGGACTTGGGACAAGGGATGGAGTGACAGGACAAGGTGGAATGGCTTAAAACTGACAGAGGGAGATGCAGATTAGATTACAGAAAGAAATTCTTGCCTGTGAGGGTGGTGATGCCCTGGCACAGGTTGCCCAGAGAAGCTGTGGCTGTCTGTCCTAGGGTGGCTTTACTGTCTGTTCTGTTTATGCTGGATATTAAGTTCTGCACCTTTAGACTGGTTCAGAGAGCAAAGGGGAGGAGGAGAAGAGCACAGTTTGTTATCAGAAACTGCACTTGCTCCCCCACATCCTTCTCCTGGACTGTGTTGTCTGCAGCACAGACAGCGGCAGAGAGCTCTCTGTCATGGACATATTTTATGAAAAATCCTTTTGCTAGGATTTTTTCTCCTGAGAAGCTGAGAGGCCTCAGAAACAAAATGTAAACAATAATTATCTGCTGCTGTGGAATGCAACAGGGGCATCTTTGATTGGTCCATGTTGGTTGTTTCTAATTAATGGCCAATCACAGTCAGCTGGCTTGGACTCTCTGAGAGTCATGAGCTTTTGTTATTCATTCCTTTCCACTCCTTGCTATCCTTCTGATGAAATCCTTTCTTCTATTCTTTTAGTATAGTTTTAGTATATCATTTTCTTTTCATATAATATATATAATAAAATTATAAATCAGCCTTCTGAAACATGGAGTCAGGATTCTCATCTCTTCCCTCATCCTGGGATCCCTGCAAACATGACCACAGCTCTCCTTTGCTTTTAGTTAGTTTTTAGCTAGCTGTGGCAGAAATGGTTCCTCAGGCTGTGTTTTTTCTTTTTCTTGGAGCTGTTCAGCCCTTCTCTGGACTGAAAAACAGCACTGGGAGTTCACACCTGTGGCCCACTGGAGCCCAGGATGTGGCATTTCCAGCACAGGAGGGACTGATAAGAGACTGAATGAGCCAAGTTACACCCCACAACAAGGACTTTCTAAATTTGCCATCTCTTCAGAACAGTGAGAGGTTTTATTGTTTAAAATTATTCCATTTTTATGCTTGTGAATAGTTTGCTTGTTATAAAATCAGCTTTTTTCACTTTTCTCCATGGAAATCTTTTCCTGAACCAGTTGTGGGAGGGCCCACTTGAATCTGCTTTCTAGAGGGACCCCTTTGGAAGTTTCCTGCCAAATTTGCCCTAAACCAGGACATTGCCCCGTCCCTGGAAGTGTCCAAAGCCAAGTTGGATGTGGCTTGGAGCAACCTGGGATACTGGAGGGTGTCCCTGCATGTGGCAGGGAGGGATTGGAATGAGATGATCTTTAAGGTCCCTTCCCACCCAAACCACTCCAAGATTCCATGAAATGGATCTTCAGCCCACTGGAGGCACAGATGAGCTGGAAGCAGAAGTACATCAGCTGTGCTTGGATGCCTTTATTTAGGAAATGAGCTAAAACAGAGAGTCTCAGAGTACGATTTCCAAAGTGGTTCCTCCAAGAACTGTACATTTGGCTCCAAGCTCTTCCCTCAGCCTTTGCCCTCAATGCCTTGTTTTCCATAAAAGCCTGAAGGAGGCACTCCCCAGCCTTTTCCAAGGAAAGGACAAAGGACTGAACTCCTTTGTTCTCAGGGTACTGAAGATGAGCACCACAGCAAATCCTCTGAAAGGCAGTGCCAGAGAAAAAACAGCACCACAGCCAGTCCCTCCTGGCAGGGCAATGTCACTGGCACTGATTTTATCCAAAACTCTGTCTTGATCAAACTGAACATCCATGAGGTACTTTGGTCCATGGAAAATAGGTAGGCATGACAATGGAGAGAAGTACTGTGGTTTAACATTTCTTGACACTATCAGAAAATAACCTTTGAGTTTTACAGTCAAAGAGGAAGAACCACCATGTGCAGGTCCCAAGCTTCTTCTGTACCCATCCAGTGGGAAAAGAAAGTTGGATTGAGGGGCCTGAGATAATATGAAAGGAAGCACAGGAAAACCACTTTTTTTTTCTTAACAGTATAAGACAAAAGCGGTCCTAAATCTTCTAAAGACAAAATGGATCCAGCAATAAAGGAAGAGATTAGAACACAGTAGAAAAGACTTACCATTTCCCAGAAAGATTTGTACTTTTTTCTAAGAGACCAACTGCCACAACATCCCTCAGTTCCCTGGAATGGACAGATCAATTTGGTCCCACGCTGCAGCCCAACAGCATCATTTTCCATGCCCAAAGCATCATGACAGGCATCAATTCAAAGCCACCAGCACTGAAAGGAAAATTCTGCTGCCTGTTAGACATCCTTGCTCCCTACATGCTGTTTCTTCCATCACTTTTTTTTTTTCTTTTTCTCAGCTGAGTATCTCAAATTTACAAAAAAATAAAAAGGAGTGTTTTTATGAGAGAACGGGATGATCTTGCTAGACAGCCACGATAAATCACTCCTTGCAAGTGTGAGATTATTTTCAGTGCTGCATCTGCTCCAGCTCTCCTGTTAGTGAGCCCAGTTCTCTCTTGCAAGTTTATTAAATGCTCTAGTGGGTGTCTCACTGGACAAAGTTTACAGTCTCACCTTCCTGGAGACATAGCAGGAAAAATGAAGGGGAAGTGCCTCCATTCTAATTCTTGTTTTCTTTCTTTTTTCCCCTCAAGTAAAAAGCACCTAATTTTCCCTGGTGAGAGCACAGTTGGACACCAGTGACAGCCTGCAGTGCCTGAGGACAAGCTACAGAGGGAGATACAGGAAGGCAAAAAAGACAAGGAAACCCAAGAACTGGCAGTGATGGCCCAGGTAAAGGTGGTGTCCTGTGGAGGAGACACCCTGCCTGTCCTCAGTGCCCACACAGCACTGGGCTGCCTTTATCCACAGCCACCTGCAGACCCAGCTAGAAGTAGGTGGTCTTCGTGCTCTCATTGTCCTGGTCAGCAACTTTTCCTTTCACCTGCCCATTCTGAGAGCTGCTGGTGGCATTTTCGCAGACCTGGTGAAAGGGAAAAGGGTGTAAAAGCAAGGAAAGGTGTGCCATGAGCTGATGGCAGCTGGCCCTGAGACAAGCAGCCTTCAGCAACTTGGACCCCATTCCCAACTGTTCCTGTGGACACCCTTCTCCCAGCAAGACAACAGAAGTATTGGGGTGCAATTCCAGCTGGCCCCATGGGGAATGAGGGCTGGGAGCTGTGAGAGGGTGAAAGCCAGAGGATGGGGCTGCAAGGCACCAGCACTTCCCTGAGGAGGGCAGAGGGAGGAAGCACTGGCTGTTGTATCCCATGGATGGGAATGAAGGGGTGTGTCACCCTGATTTTTTAAGATTTTCTGAGCCTTCTGATGTTTACATTCTTGTAACAAACTTTCTCACACTTTCTGTAAATAACTTATTGCTTTGCATTCTTTAATGGAGGAGGAGAAATTTGATGGACTGTTGGTTTGTCTAGTGTCGTCGGAGAGGTGGCACTTTCACCCTCCAGTCCACTGTCACTTTTGGGAAACTATAAATGTTGGAGTCAGAAAATAAACTTCCCTTTTTCTTCACCTTGAGAGCAGCGATGTGCGTGCTCATGTTGTTTCATGTCCTATAGCAACATGGATGACTTCCACATGCAGGAATGGGTGACTTCCACATTAATTCCCTCTGTGACTCCTAAAGAAACCCCCAGCACATCCAAGGGGCTCCCCCAGCGCTGGCTGCCCACGTCCCCACCTCAGAGGCAACCCCAGGACCCACCTGCGCTGGAGGGTGGCCGTCCCCTGTGTCATCTGCCAGGTCTGTGCCACAGGTCTCGGGCAGCAGGATGCAGAGCAGCCCCCCCAGCACGGGGGCACTGCCAAAGATGGCCATGGGGATGGCACGGTGGTGCTGGCCCAGCAGCCGGACCAGCGGGGCCAGGATCCCGGCCACCCGCGCTGACACGGAGCACAGCCCCACGCCCGTCTGCCTGTGGGACAGAGGGAGCTGTGGGCTGGGGTCAGCACCCCCAGGCCACCACGGGGATGAGCCATGGGGACAACTCCTGCCCCACTGCCATCACTGCTGGTCACTCCAAAGTGTGGGGAGAGCTCACCTGACGACCGTGGGGAAGAGCTCGGCAGCGTAGACGTAGGAGGTGGAGAAGGAGGCTGAGGCAGCAAACTTGCCAATGGTGGCCAGGACGGTGGTTGCCACGGGCTGGTCTGAGGGGAGGAGGAGAGATGGCTGCTGTGGGATGGGGGAGGGCTCAGCACCACTCACAGATGGTGACTGGGGATTGCAGGGACAACTGTGTCACCTGCAGGGAGCCATGGCCTGTGACAGTGTCTGAGCATGGGCCAGGCTGCTCTGGCCTGGTGGCCACTTTCAGTGTGCTCTGCACCCACCATCTCACCTCCCCAGGGATTAATTTTCCCAGAGCACAGCTCTGTTGACAAGGGGCCCACTGGACTCAGTTCTGCCCTCTGCTGTTTGCTATCAACAAGAAAATTTTCGTTTGGGCCCTGTGGGTTCAGCCAGGCCCGTGTGGCCAGGGTCAGCTGAGGCCTAGAGGGATGTGAGCCACCCTGGCTGAGAGGACAGAACAGCAAGGGAAGGGTTGAGGCTCTGTGCCTCCCTGTCCCAGAGGATGTCCTCTCCGTGTGGGATGAGGTTGTTCACCTTCAGGGATGCCAGTGATGATCAGACACACCAGGCCACTCAGCACCAGGAGAACAGCCTGCGTCTTCCTCCTCCCGAACCTCTGCAGGGTGAAGATACAAGCAAAACGGGCTGGGATTTCCACTGCTCCAAAGGCCAGCTGAGTCAGGTAGATGTCCAGGCCAAAATTTGTCACGTTCAGACTCAGCCCGTAGTAGACAAAGCTGTTCACAAACCTGAAAGCCAGGCAGGGTGGCACTGAGCAGATGTCAGCCATGAGGAAATGCAGCATTGATCTCCAATTATTTGGACCAAGCATTTCCCAAGAGATGTAAAACCAGAGGAATACCACAGGCCTGCCAAAGCTGAAAATGCTATAACCTTTCCCACAAAGCATTTTAAACAGGCAGAAGAATAAATACCCATCAAATAACACTCAAAAGCCACAAGGTGAATTTCCTGATAACTAATTGTCAATCCCTTCTTTTCTTTCACCTAGAAGTTTGGGAAGAATGCACCAGGGAGTGACTTACCAGGCACATGACATGATTAAAGTCACCTTCAGCAGGTGCTTCTTCCGAAAGAGATCCAGGAAACTTCCAGACTTGACCTCTTTCTCAGGCTTCAGCTTCAAAACATAGAAAGACAAAGAGTCAGAGCAGCAAAAGGAAACCCATGTCCAGCTCCTTTTCCACCTGCAGACCATAGAAGGCCTCGGTGGGACAGGTCTGTGACCGCAGTGCTCTGGCAGGGAGGGCAGCCGCACTGCCCTCTGTGTGCCCAGCACAGGGCATGGTGACTGAGAGGTTCCTCAGGATGAACATCTCCCCAGAGTGGGAACTTTGGGGTGGGCAAGGAGGGAACTCCCCTTCAGGCATTTCTGCATGGAAACACACAGGCTAAAGAGAGAGACTGTGCCCATCAGTGACACTCCTGGAATGCTCAGAGGAGAAAAGCCAGGGAAGCATTTCAGTCCTTCCCACATGCCCAGGGGGAGCCCAGAAAGCTCGAGGCTGATCCTTAGCAGAGGCTGGGCCTCTTCCATGACCTGGTCCCTGTGGAACTCAGCTGGAGCTGGAGTCCCCCAGAGCCCATGGCCCGAGCAGCCCCAGTGGGAATGCAGAGAGGTTTCTGGGATGAGCTGAGCTCCAGGGGCTGCTGCCAGGCCCAGGGCAGTGTCTGAGGCCAGGACCCCCCAGTACCTGCTCCAGGAGCTGCTGCCAGGCCCAGGGCAGTGTCTGAGGCCGGGGCCCCCCAGTACCTGCTCCAGGAGCTCTGGTGGGAGGCTGCGCTTGTTGGTGGCCGCCGCCTTCTGCAGCACCTTCTTGGCTTCCTCGATTCTGCCCTTGGTCACCAGCCAGCGAGCTGACTCTGGGAGCACCCTGCCACGAGAGGAGGCCAGCACATGCTGCTGTGTCCTGCTGAGATCCCCCACAGCCCCTTTCTCTGGGACCATGTCCAGCAAGCCTTGGAATCACCACAGGATCAGATCCCAGAACCACAGAACCTTCAGCGTTGGAAGGGACCCACAAGGATCATCAAGCCCAACTCTAAACTGAAAGGCCCATGGGATCAATGGGTCTAAACACCCTAAATTTGGGCTCCAAAGGCCACATTTGGGGACCTGAAGCAGAGCAGCTGCTGCTGTCAGCAGTGCAGTGCCAGGGAGATGTGCTGAGCTCTGCAGCAGCTCCTGCAGCACCTGCACTCCGATGGGAAAGACCCAGCTTGGTTCTGAGCTGCTGCCTCCTCCTCACTCACACCCTCACAGTGCTGTCATATCTGCAGGAGCTCTGTCCACATCCTGCTTACCCCATGCAGAAGAAAAAAGCAAATATAAGAGCAGATCCTGCAATCTCCAGCAGCCTCCAGTTGCGAATCCCGTAACTCAAACCAGCCAAAATCATCTGCCCGATGGCAAAGCAGCAGTGAGAGGTGAGCACTGCATTTGGCCGGGAGGAGACACCAATCCATTCTGTAGCTGAAAGGAAGAAGGAAGGCTCAGAGTCATCCAAATTATTTCCCCTGAGGCAAACAGGTGTTTCCCTGGAGAAGAATTATTCTGGAGGTGAGGATTGGACTGACCTCCTGTTCTGGGGTACTCCCCTTGCCCTCCTCTGAGCACCGGCTGGAGAGAGATGCTCCCCAAAGCTCTAACTGAGGGCTGAGAAGTTGCCAAAGTACCAAAGGACAGTGAAGATCAAGACCTGTCCTCACCATGGTGTTTTTCTAGTCAAACACGGATATTTTTATTTCTTTGAAGACTTATCTATTGCATCTTGAGATGCCCCAGGGCAAGGGCATCCTACTCACCTAAGGCCAGTAATGTCATGGTGATCCCTGACACGGAGGCCCCCACCACACACCTGAAGGCCATGTACACATAGAAATGGGGCACAAAGGCAATTCCCAGGCCAAACAAGCCCTGCAGGAAGACGGAGATCAGAACGACCGGGCGGCGGCCGATCCTGGGGAGAAACAGGGAACACAAAATCGGTGTCTGGAGAGACCCCATGGAGATGGCAAGGAGCCCAGCAGGTTAGACAGTGATTCTTATCACCCTGATAAGGCTCAGAGTAGACTGTGGGGTGACAAGGGAAGCACTGTGCACACATGCTGTGTCTCTCTCCCTCCACCTCCCTGTGTGGCCATGTTCTCATGGGACCCGAGGACTTTGGTCAGGGTCCCTGCAGTGAGAAGTGGTAACAAAATGCACAGGGTGCACAGTCCAGACAGGCTCACACCACCTGGTCTGTGCTGTGCTGCCTTTGCACAGACCCTGGGCAGGAGGTTGTGGCTCCTCACCTGTCACTCAGAGGCCCAAAGATCATGGATCCCAGGAGCAGCCCTGCCATGTAGATGGCCTGGGCAATGTCATTGAGGTCCTTCCTGTCACACACCAGGTCAAACTGGAGAAAGGAGAAAGAGATGCTTTGGTAAACCCACTTCCAAGGATGTGAATCCCCACAGTATGCACAGGGCACACAAGTCAGAGATGGGACAAGCCCTTGGGGCACTCACTGGGGTCCCTCTCCCATGTACTGAGACCTGCAGGAGACCCCCTTGTCCAGCCCAGCCAACCCAGGGGAGCCTCCTGGTCAGCAAATTTTGCTTTAGGTGGGCCTGGGGACAGAAGCAGCAGCTTGCTTCCTCAGACCACCTGAGCTCCCAGAGGAGAAAGGATGCAATGCTGATTCCTGGGACAAGCAGTTTCTGTTAAAGAGATGTCCTGCAATTGCCAGCACCCAGAGGGCATCAATGGAAGGAGTGACATAGGAAGGATCGTAGAACCATAAAATGGTTTGGGTTGGAAGGGACATTAAGATCATCTAATTTGAACTCTCTTGCCATGGGCAGGGCACCTTACACTAGATCAGATAAATCAGAGCCCCATCCAACCTGGCCTTGAACATTTCCAGGGATGGGACAGCCACAGCTTCTCTGGGCACCCTGTGCCAGGGCTTTACCACCCTAACAGTGAAGAATTTCTTCCTAACATTTAATCTAAACCTACTCTCCTTTATGTTAATTTAGCATCTTTCTCAGCTAACAATTGTGATGTTGGGGGTTGGACTAGATGACTTCTAAAGGACCCTTCTGAGCCAAACCATTCCATGATATTAAATTGGAAAGGTTACTCCCAGGATGCAGAGGGATGGGGAATCCCAGGGGCAGGAGGTCCCTGCAGGAGTGATTCATCTCCCCACTGGCACCTCTGGCACAGCCTGCACCCTTTCCAGGACCACACCTGGGGCCTGCATGGTGGAGCCAAGGTCCCCAACCCACACCTGCTGTAAATCCCAGCTGCACCATGGCCAGGCACCAGCCCTGGGGGAGCTGTGGCCATTTGGTGCCCCATCCCTTCCACAGCCCAGCAGATGCAGCAGCAGGTACAGACCTCGGTCAGCAGGGACGGTGGCTGCTCGGAGGGGTACACCCAGCCACTGCTGCACTTCTCAGTGTGGTTCAGCCCATAGGCCAGGATGGAATCCAGGTCCCAGTCCACCGGGGAGAACATGGAGCACTGCTCAAAGTGCCCGTCGGGGCCCCGGGGCAGGGTGAGGTTCAGCTGCTCTTCCTCTGTCAGGTTGGGGCCCACGGCAAGGATCCAGCTGGTGTCACAGTGGTGAGGCACTTCCACCACCATGAAAAGCTGGCAAAACTGGTGGAAAGCCACACTGAGGCAAGGGATCACGGACAGCAGCACCAGGCATTTCTGGAATCGCCCAAAATCACCAACTGCTTTCAAAATTTCCCCGACACCTGACATTGGTGGCTGTGTCTGGGACAGGACAGTGCTGGGACAGACTTCCCAGAGGGCTGGAATTAATGTTTAAACCTCAGATAAGCTCTGCAGTTATAGGCAGTCGCTAGAAGTACACCATGTAATATATTAATCATCCCTGTGCCACCCACAAACATCCAGTGCTGGCTGGGGCAGAAGGACCCCTGCTCCAGGGAACCTGGGCCAGCTCCTCTGCCAGGGCCAGGTGGCATGGACAGGGAACGGACTCTTCTCCACAGTGACTGTAACAGCTGCATTTGCATTTGAGCCACTCAGGAAAGCCAGGATCAGAGGGGCCAAAATGAGACCAGAGTGATGCAGAGCTGGCAACAGCCCAGAGGAATAAAGGGAATTATGTTAATGATGGGCAGAACCAGAGATGAGGAAGGGCAGCCAGTTCATTGTGATTCCAGGGGATGGAGCTGCCATTCCCTTCACCTTCTGCAGCTTCCCTGTGCAACACAAGCAAGCCAGGCACAGGATGTCCCCCCTTCCCACCAGTTCTGGGCCACCCTGCAGCTGCTGGGGGCTAAATGCAGAAAGGACTTGGGGAAAGGGGAAAGGGACGGAGAAATTTGACACAGGGCAATGGTGCTTGAGGCTGAAATGCCTAAAATCAAGAACACAAATCCAGCACTGCTCAGCCTATCCCTCATGTAGGAAAAGCATTTGCCTGGGGCCCCTTTGAGATGTCCATGAGGTGCCCAAAAGCCACCTGGATACTCCTGCTGCCCACAGATCCATGAGAAGGGCTTTGTAAAGCATGCTGGAAAACACCATGCACCCACAAAGAACAGTTATTGTGGAGGAGAGGAGGGAGTGCAGTTCATGCTCTCACCACTTGTCAGGGTATAAATCCTCCCACTTTCACACCAGGCTGTGTCATCCTGAGGCTTTCCTGGACATGAGAAGCTCATTCCCAGTTGCACAGGGTGTACAGAGCCTCTTGGCTACAGACAAGCTCTCAGGGCACCATCCTGAGTGCCCTCCTGGCTCCATTTCTGCACACAGCTCCTGCAGAGATGCACAGAGATGGAATGGTTTGGGTCAGAAGGCCAAACTTAAAATTCATCCAGTTCCACCTCTGCCATGGGCAGGGACACTTCCCACCAGATCATGTTATTCAGAGCCCCATCCAGCCTGGATTTGATCTCCCTTTCCCCACTGAGTCTTCCTGGGGGCTGTCAAACCTCCCACCACCCCAAACAAACGCCCCAGGGGTTGCAGACACCACTGAGACAAACCAACCAACCCAGTGACAAGCAAACCACACATCACACACCTGGCAATGGACAATTTGTTCTTTATTGATTAAAAATTAGACACATGCAGTAAAATACAAAGTCCAAAAAAGGAAAAAAAGCCTGACTATTTTACATCTTTCATTATAATCTACAATACACCAAAGTTGTGAAGAGGATCCGTTTTCATTAACAGAGCATTGTCCTTAAAAGTAGGAGCTAACTTAAAATTACCACCTGCTTCTAGGTTCAGATCAGAAATTTGCACAAAAACCAAATTCTTAATGACACTGGAAAACAATTATGAACAGCATTGGCACTTACTGGAACAACATCAGAAAAGACAGTTGTCTAGCACTGTAATAGCCCAAGTAAATATTTTGGATCCCTACCCAAAAGATCTGGAGATCCATAGAGCAAAACCCATCAGCTTCTTCCTCGCTTATTTTCTCCATTAAAGAACTACGGAACCTTGGGTTAGCGTGAGCTCAAGCTCTCTAAGTCCTGGCTTTGGGAAAATGGGGAATAACAATAAATAGATACTGCATTGTTCCATTTGAGCAGTTTAAGTCCTAACCTTCCTCAGCACCAGTACACAAATGAATGAGGAGGTCCCCAGGGCATGCAGGCAGAGGGAAAATAATACTGTACCACAACTACCTTGTCTCTGTATCCTAAAGGCTCCCAACACATCCACACTGAGCACAGGGTGATGGGAAAATCAAGGTGCCAGCCTGCTCTTCCCAAGCCAACAAGCTCAATGGGGGACACTGTAGGGAGTGCTTTGTGTCAGGCAACAGGGAATGGTGCCAACACACACCTGCCAACCCTGCCACCACCAACTCCCTGCTATCGGGCACTTGCTTCCTGGGCTCAGCACCCCAGGATGATCTCACTCCCAAATTTTCATCTTCCTCTCCCTCCCCTTCACACTCAGCAGCCATGGGGCTGCAGACAGCCCATGGGGACACAGCCAATATCCACCCAGAGGCTACAAGCAACAGGGGCGGTAAAAAAAGAACATGCACAATTCAGGAAGCTTCCACAGCTGCTCATAGAGAACAAGATATAAATACAGATTGTTCATCTGAAGACTTGGAAATTAAAAAAAAAAAAGAAAAAAAGAAACAGAACAAAAGTCCTAATTGAACCTAGTCATTCCGCTCTGTTTCTGCATTGTTTGTGTCTGATGGAAACAAAGCTCATTTCCATCTGCATGTTAAATTACAGACTTACAACTTCTGTGTAGAAAACACTCCAGAGCCAAGAGCACTTACAAAGGCCAACTGTGAAACAGTAGGAAAAAAAAAAAGTCAACACCATTTATTATTCACATATTGCATTACAAGTGTCTCTTATCAAACTCAGAGCATAATTTATATTATTCATGTAGAAACTCAACTTCAACAGCACATGGAAAGAAAAGCTAAATATGTGTGTGACAGGGGTGCAGTGACATCCTGATCAAATGTCTCAGCTTGGGCTGAGGTGCAGCCCGACGACCCAAGGGATTGAGAGCAGGAGGGACAAACCCAGTGCCCGCTTTTGCCCAGTACAGCCACTCTACTGGTGATTCTTTATTGCTGTAAAACACGACAGGGATGGTTCCACGGGTACCAGCTTGCAAAGGACTGGGGAACACATTGGGAAGCCAGCCAGGCATGACCAAACTGGGTTTCAGGGACACTTGCAAGTGCATCTGTTCCAAAGGCAGAGTGACATAGATCTCCTCTCCCTGTGTGACCATGGATATTGTGTTCACCATGTGAAAGACCAGTTTCCAGGCAGCAATGCCTCCCTGGTCTGCTACAAGAACAGACCACGCCTAAGATGCAGAATGAAAGCAGCAGGAAGGACTGCTAAATGTAAATTAAAAGGTTCAGCCCTCATGCCATGCCTGGCACTCATGTGGAGAGAACCAAAATGATAAAGAAAAAAATTAAGGCAGTTTACATAGGGAAGCTGACTTCTAACACCTCAAAGTCAAGGAACTTCTCCAAAACACAAACACAAGGGAAAGAAGCTCTCCCTCCTGTGGGTTAAGACTCTGCTTGCTTTCTCAGGTGCAAGCATTCAAACCCAGGAGTTTTAAATCACACAGCCAAAGAGAAGCAGATTTCTCAGCACTCCAGGTGACCCAAACAACACGTACATTGGTGTTTCAGATAGAAGGAGAAGCAGGTAAAGAACCAAAAAAAAAAGGAAAAAAATCCGTTCAGTATTAAAACTTGTGCAAAAACAGCAAGTGAAAAAAAATGAAACCACATGTAAGCAAACACTTAGGCAAGATCATCAGAGCAGTGGAACCCCCTGCTTCGTACTCAGTAGTATTTTTTCTTTAAAGTAAGGCAATAATAAAATGAACATGCAGGCAATGACGTGTTGGGTCTGCATGTTTGAGATGACAGATACAAAAACATGAGAGTTGTTTACAAAAGGTGTAAACGTCATCGGTAATTTCAGGAAGGTTTGTGATCCTATTAAGGAAAATGTTAAAGCTTCTAGGAAGGGGGCTGTAGTTCAATTCTTTGGCAGTAGTGGTTTTTTTTTTAGGCTAACAGAAGCATTACGAATATGCACATGTGGGTTCTCTGTTGGGAAACATCTCCTGGGACCAATGTTTAGCTGATGCTGAGCTGTGCAAATCCTATAAGTTTGCCATCATCCGGAATTTCGGAGCCGTCGACACCAGATGCCTGAAACAGGGAAGAGAGATCCAAATAGCAACACACATGCTCTACCTTCCAGCAGAAACCACAAGCAGGTGTATCAGACAGGCTGGGGGGAGGAAGCAGCCACAGGACAGCTTTGCACTGTATTCAGCAGCTTGCACTACTCAAAGTTAAAATTGAGTGCTTTTGTATTTTTGCCTCTTTTTTTTAAGGTAAGAAGGGCTGGGACTTAAGTTTTGCCAATGTCTGCTCCAACTAGACATTCTATATACAGTAACTGGGGTAAAACAAGTAAAGACTCCTTACAGGAAGAGTAAATAAGAGCACTTAATGCTTCACTCCCAATAACCTGGTTGCACCTTTGCTTTGCCACTGTAACTCCCCCTGAATTTCACCACCTCAAGTTTTGGCTCTCTTCTTTGGCCCATCACTCTTATTTTCCTTTTTTCTTCATTTCCCCATTTCCTCCTCAGGTACAATGTATCTGGACCCTCCCTCACTCTCTTCCTCCAAAAAAGGAGTCTGTGCAGGTGCACATCCCAAGCCCCAAAATACCCCTCTGCAACATTTACATATATTAATTAGGACATCATCTCATGCTCATTTATCCCAGGTGCTGCTCAAGGATACAAGCAGGGAGCCTGAAGTGCCTACAGTTACACAACCAGTAAGAAGCTTTGGGAAAGAAGGGAGGATTTAGAGTGCATACATCAGATGCCTGCAGTAAACATCTACATGCAATGCCTTCTCCTTGCAAGGGACAACTGGATCAATTAGGGAACAGGAATAAATACCAGTCTGAAAGTGATGGATCTGTTTGCCTGGGGCTCTTCCACAATTTTCTGCAAATTAGCTGCAACTGAAATCACACAGACACGAAGAAAACGGGCAAATATTAGGGCAGGCTGGAGAAAAACATCCCAAAGTCATTAGTTCTTTTTCTATTACTTAACAAACTTTGAATTTTTACACTGATAAGGAAAGGTTTATATCTCAATTAGACTCAGTCTACTTAAACCTAAAGCTTTGAACTGTGAAAATGCTGTTATTGTTATCACATTACTTTTTCAGA